ACAAAAACTGTTCTTTTGTCGCGATTCTTTTTGGAGCAATTCCAAACTCTCCCATGTCGTCATCATCCATAAAATCCTCTGGCCTCTGTTGTCTTTGCTCGCCTTTTTTGGAGCGAGAAGAGATGAAAGTCGAGGGCTGCCATCCCTCTTTCGTTCCAACCGTGTTAAAATACCCGGCTGAAAAACCACCCGTGAATGCGCCATGAAATCGTCTTCTCCCTTCAGTATCTGTAACAATTTGGTCGTGAACCGGGACAGCTTTTTTACGCGGAGCATCTTCCTCTAAGGGCTCAAATGGCGTTCCAAAGCTTGCTAGCGTATCATCATCATCGCTATCCGCCATCTTGAAAATCTTGGCTAAAAGTGACGCATAAGTTTTAGGAACACACCGCTGATTCCCACCATTGGCGCGCAAAGCATCATGCGTGAGGTAAATAAAGGTTGCTTAGTTACAACCAAGAATGGTAGGCAAGAAGACATGAATGAGTTCGCTGCAAGAAGTTTTCAAATTGTCTTCGTCTAAAACGTTATTCACAACTGAATATCAGGTAATCAGAGAAATAATATTAACAGTTATTCTATTTTTGACCTTTGATTGAGAATAGATCCCTGCAGAAAACATAATTTTCGCGTTCAATGCAGACCATTTGAAAAGTTATACTACAAATATTTCTGAAATTATAACAGGCTTCCTAATTTTGCCATCTGTTGAACAAATTTCAATTTTATCTTAGTGATCTGTTGACTTTTTGTTAGTAATTTGTAAAAACCTTGAGCTTAAATCTGAAGGAAGCTTGTTAAGGGAGAAAGCGATCGTAATTGTTGGAACAAATGTAAATTCGAAATCAATGTACTTCTTTTTAACACAAATCATGATTATTGTGCTTACCAGTACTTGGAAATATGCAGTATATCGCTAACGATTATGGTTTTTATTTGAAAACAAGTTAAATTGGAAGAGATCGCTTTATTACTTGGTATTTGGGTTGTTACAATATTTTTTGTGAAGTCAGTTTGAAAAGTAAACTTTTATTTTTCTTGTCAGGTTTTGGGATTTCAAAATGTTGTCAAATGTGGATACTATACACATATCAGCAGTACTGGAGGACTGTGTAGATCAGCTGGCAATCCTGGGTCACATCATGCCACCATCTTTGCAGGGGAAACAAGAGGCTGCACAAATTGTTGATGATGAGCTAGGCCAAATTTTACAGGATCAGAGAGATTTAGAATCCAGATATGAAGTGGTAAGGATTGAAAAAAAGAAACAAAGAAAGATTTTGTGTGATTTTGTCTTACGGGTGGGACACAGAAGCATACTCTGAGCGTCCTGTTATGAGTCAAACCACAGATCTACCAATTTTACAGTTTTTACTTCATGATCATAAAAGATAAGGGACCTGTGATATAACAAGGTTATATGTAGTCAAATCTGTATGAAGTGGTCACCCACAGATAAGGGGTATTTTTAAAAAACGATGGAAAATGCCACTATATGTCACGATTGACTACTGACTGTACAGAATCTCGCTCTAAAATACTACATACTTTGATTTTGGGAGGGAAATTAACAATTGGATTAGAAATTACTTGATAGATTATTCTTAGTTTTATTTGAATAGTTTGACTTTCAGTGATCATTCAATATAGGTTGAAGACAATGAATAGAGGCCATTGGGACTGAGTAAAGGGTGATAGGGAACAGTTAACCCTTTCAGTCCCAAGATCTGATTGTTATTTCTCCCCTCTAGCTGTAACACATCTCCTTTTTAATTAGTTACAAGAATTTGGTGTTGGATCAGGATAACAACTTCCACCTGATTTGTTTGAGTTTTCTTACTACCTGTGTGAAGGTTAATGTATGGATACTTTAGGGAGATGTTACATGTTAATCACTTCTGGGAGTTAAAGGGTTAATTAAGAGATGAAAATAATAGTGACTAAGGGGAAATAAATTCTGACTCTGAAAACCGACCGCTTAATACGGTGTGACAGCTTGATACGCTGCTGCCTAATACAGGTTTGACTGTACTTGAAAATGAGAACTTGGCAGCATTCACTGGAGCTCTTCCTCTTTTTCACAGCGTGAAAATGTGTCAAATTTTTTATGTATGGGAGAAAAATTTTGATTATTCAATCAAATGTACATGTGTTCATGGAAGTATTCAGTTGGGACGAACAGATTTTGCAAGGGTTGAATTGTTTAGTCATTTGATACTTTCATTGCTGTGTTTTTCCTGTTGTGTTTTACTGTATTTGCAGTATGTAAACTTTGAGTATTAAGCTACAAATTTCCTCTAAACTAAAAATTTATTTTTCCCAGCTTGTTAACCATAGAGATGACCCCCACACAAATAACAAGAGTTTGTTAAAAGTACCGGATGATCTGCAACTACATTCTGTGGCCAAGTCATTACGAGAAAGTACAAATGGTATGTAAATGGTTCCAGGTATAATTTTCAGTGCCAGGTGAATAAGGATATGATTATGAGGTAACACATACAAATTTGTACCTCAAATTTAACCAGGGCCACAATGTTCAAAGCATGATTAAGCTAACTAGGGGTTAGGTGAAAATTCTTTTTAGATTTGTAGCTTTGCAGACAGTTCTTACAATTATTACAGTTTACATTTTTCCTTCAAATTTGCCATAACTTAAAGTAAAATGCTTCAAATCATGGGCCATGATTTACACTTTATTTTAAGACAAATCAAGGAAAAGTTAAACCTTTAATACTAGATTATGACCAACTGCATTCTGTACAACTTGGCTCAGGCTGGTTCAGCATTTGAAACAGGTAACGTTGTTCTTGGACCCTGATTTTAACTTGGAAACTCAGAACTCAGATGAATCCAGCCACTCAGATGTATCAGTTGTAAAGATTGGTCTGTCGATGATGTATGGGATTATGAGGGAGGGGGGAAGGGGCTGTGATCAATGTTTGACCAGTCACCAACTGAAAGATGCTCAGTCAGTTGGATTAATATTTGCAGAGTGAACAAGTCTTGTTAACTTCAAGTCAGACCCAAATCAGACTTTGTGTTAACTCACTCCTCTACATGTTTGAAATTCTTTTTCTTCACAAGAGAGAAAAACATTACATCAACATTAAAGTTATTTACTGATACCACTCATTATAATATTGTTATAATTTAAGTAAGAATTTATGTAAATAAATGTATTATGCTGACATTTACTTCAAAACATTTCTTTTGAAGTCTATTTTTCAGTCATTTTTTGCCTGCTAACTCAAAACTTCAAAAATTTGACTGTAAACAAACTTAGAAATTTCAATCATTGTAATCTGATCTCTTTTTTGTTCCTGTACAGCACTGAACAGAAGTTTCAAACAGAACCCTTTGTCAAATGACAGCCTGTCAAAAATTCAAGCAGATAGGTAAATAGTATTGTTTATTGGTAAACAGCCAAGAAGTGATGTCTTTATAGATCTTTGCAAAGTTGGTCAGCATTTGATTTGCCCACATGCAAATCAGGAAAAACAGGCTGAACTACACAAAGTTGAGACTTCACTCTTTACACCCAACATCAGGGTGCATATGCTCCACACTGCTCAAAGATACTGTAAAGGGGAATTTAATATCAATAAGGAGCTCCTAGAGATAGTGATAATTCTTATAATCTTCTTACCTTAATGCTTGATTTAAGGGTGATACTGTAAGGAGAAATTAGAAACTTATCACTCATAGAGCTTTGAGATGTTTAACAGCTGGTTTTACAAAGTTAGGAAACTTTGGAAAGAAAATTCACACAATATTTGCAACCAAGGATTTCTGATATTTTTTTAAAGATGTAACAAAGCATTCTTGACCATTTACACCCTAACATCAGTATGCATATTCTCCATACTGTTCTCTATAAATTTCTTAAGGTGCTGAGAAAGAGAATTTGTTGAACAATCAAGGGCTGCTTTAGCTGGTGATCATTTCCTCACTTCTATTGACCCTAATGTGTGATTCAGGGGTGATCCCAGAAGGAGAAATTAGATGCTAGTCACCCTTAGAAGTTTAAAAGGGTAAATGCTAATTTAGTCTGTGGTAAATGTTAATACTTAGTAACTATCTTTAAGGTCAAGGATTCTTAATTTTCTATAGGAAATTTCTGCAAGATGTGATGGAAGAGACGCTTGAGGAGATTGTCACCCACAAGTCGTTTGACTCTCTTGTAAGAGCTGTTGATACAGAGAAAGAAAAGAAAGCTGGGCTTCAACAAACTATACTCAAGTATGTTGCATTACTGTTGACTGTAATTAATGGATGCTGGGAAATTTTTAACCTCATCGGTGTATGTCGATTAAAAAATTTTGCTATTGTTGTGAAAATTTATAGGGAGGAAGAAAGTCGCAGACTTGTGAAAACTCTCCAAAGGCAACTGTTGGAGGTGAAAAAAGAAAAAGAAAGCGAAATTCAGGTAAGTTCAATCGTTGATATAACTATGTCACACACTGTTACTTACAGACTTAACCGCCTTTACACCCCAGCATTTATACCCATGTTCTACTCACTGTTCTCTCAATAAATTTTCTATGGTTATGAATAGAAGAATTTCAGGTACTTCCTAAATTCGTGATCAATTGCATTTTTATCCTGACCTTTACATTTGATTCAAGGGTGACATTGTAAGGAGAAATTGGAGGCCAGTCACTCTTAGCGGTTAAACGTTAATTAAATGGAGTAGGGTTTCCCGTTTTGCATCAAATGTAACCAGCACTTGTGTGTGCGTGCGTGTTTTTTTATTACTAATTTAAAAACAAAACAAAATTGCAGCAAAGAAATGAGATGATAGCCCATCTTAAAGATCAGTTACAAGAAATGAAGGCAAAAACCAGCATGGAAGGAAAGTACATCAAAAAAGACGCAGAGGTGAGAATCGTAGACTCTATTCATCACCCGTTTTATAAAATATTTAAACTTTAAACTTCCTTTTACCGCGAAACGATCGATTTAGTGCTAGCCAAACTGTTTCCTTCTCTTTCTTGGCCTAAACAAGCCTCTGTCACCAAATAATGTATATAGTTTGGAGTCTCCAGTCTTAAATAAGATATATAGTTTTTCTGTTTAGCTTCTTGGACGGAGTGTCCTTTTGAACCGGAAGTCTTTCTGAACATTAGTATGACAGTAGTGATGCGTGGTTTATATTTGTGGTACTTGTGGTATCTTTTAAACTTATTCTTAGTAGTTTGTAAGAATTCGCTAGGTCTGGCTTGATGAGGTAGATATATCAACATCTTTAGCAATTTTCTAACGTTAAAAAGGAAGCGAAATGAATGAAATTTGTACTAAGTTCCCCACAGTTTTAATTTCCTTTAAGTCTCCAACCCCATAGGGAAGTGGTATACTACCTTTCTGGTGACCGAAGTATCGAGCATCAGAATGGACTGATCTTTAAAAAACGCAAGCCTATGTTGAGAAAACTGTAAGTAGAAAGACATTCTAGTCTTCTCGGGCACGCGCAATAAACTTCAGACCCCGTATAGAACTTAGTATCGATTTAGGATAGGGAATCACTGCTCATCTTTTATTTAAATGTTCTTGCCTTTGGTATTTTTTCAGGTTCGCGTCAGCTGCACACAAAAAAGATGCCAACAGGCGGAGGGCTCTTTGAAGGAAGATCTCGAGGTAAAGTTTACATGTGTCAAAGAAAAGATTGAATAAGTAAATAACGAGAGAATTGCAGTGTGTTGTGTGACGGTTTGAAAAAAACAAAAATTTTGGGTGGAAGCGACCCCTTGGTGCGGAGTAAGCGAACTTTATCAGAGAGGTTTTTGAGACGCGGACGACAAATGGATGAAGAATAAAACTAAATCTAGTGCGCTTTAAAGCTAATGTATTTACCGCAAGGTCTTCGTTTTGCCATTTTAAACCAAACAATACTGACTAAGAACCAGGAATGTTAACTTGACGTACGGCTGCCGGCTGCTGTCTGCTTCTCAAAAACGTTAGTAGTTACGCTCCCTAATGTCAAGTTATTGAAGTTATTGCTTATTTTCTATTTTTATTGTTTCTCTGTAATATCTGTCTCGCAATTTATTTTGCCGTCCGAAAAAAGGTTTTTTTGTCGAAAACGTAAGAAAAGCTGTACCACGCTTCATTATAAACTCACGATTTATTCGCTTGATTCAACAATTTTGCTACTACCCTACGGTTGACTGCCACTCACAACTCTCGGCTTATTAGAAGGAAACACACTTAACGTCTCGTTGCAAGCACGTGGAACAGTGCCATATATGGGACGATAAAACACGTGCTGCATACTTTTTTGCTTAGTTATCTATAAATAAACGAAATCCCTTATAAATGTCGATCGAATTGAGAATAATTAACGTAGCGTACAGTTTCCAACATTTCTTGCTCTTGTCCGCAGCTCCATAGCTGAATTCCACTTTTTTTTCTTATTGACAGACATTACGTTACAAAATAGACGAGGAAGCTCGAGTTAATTCTGAAATTGAAACTTATCTACGGCAACATCACCAGGTAAGCTACTATTAACTTTAAGCAACCGAAGATTTCCCTATAAACAGAGGACTACCTTTATTAGTAGTGTGAGATAATTTGGTTTCTCAACTGAGTTGATAATGTAAATTGGCCACCGCAAAGAATTTCTGAAGCTGAGCATTGCCCCTCTTCGGAGCGAAGTTAGTTGTAATTTTTCAGGGAAGGGTTTCAGTTGCATGAAGTGATAAGGAGTGTTACTGCTCCCCCCTGGGTGGTATGCCGCTTCATCTACGGTTTTCCCCGCCAGCATTTCCGCAGGCTTCCCTGACAATTTGCCGGTATCCATTCACTCTCTTATGTGGAGAGAAGAACTGTGAGAGTAGAGTGTCGTGCACCAAACGCACCATAATGACCCAGCCACATCTCGAACCCAGACCTCTCATCATGGATGTAGTAAATCTACCGTTTTTAAATTTCAAATAGAAATTTTTCTCTTCCTCTTCCCCCCCTCCCCCCCTTTGTATTCTTTATTTATTCACGCGCAGCGCGCGTGATTTCACAAATTAGCCAATTGCGTCAAAGAACTCTAACCTTGACATTGGAAAACTGACATGGACATTTTCTGCGTACTTTTAGTTTTTTCCGCGAGGTTTCAGTTTGTTGTTTTTTAGCTTTTTTTCCCGTTAATTTGTTACTCTTTTATTTGGAATTTTAAGAAGGTTCAGAGTTTTTTTTTCAACTAAATGTTGTGGTTCGTTTGAAAAATTTAATATATATTTTCCACGGAGTTTGGACTCCAGCCCCTTTTTTTGTAAATGGAGTTTTTACACTGGAGTCCAGGTCGCTAACCGTCAGAAAAAGAAAACCTTTCGTTTGATAAGCTTTCTTTTTAATTCGTAGATACTGGATGAGAAATTGGAATACTGGATGGAAAAATACGATCGGGATGTGGAACAGAAACAACACGAGTTGGATGTTTTAAAGGTTTGTAGCCTAAATCGTTTTTCTTCAAGGCGAGTAAGGAAGCACAGCAGAGTAGAGAAGGCTACTGTGTCTAAATGAATGTATTCTGTCAAGTGGAAGTCAAAAGTAATTCAGAATTACTTTAGTTTTTCTTCACTACGCACTGTGATTGGTCAAGAGAACTTACGTCATCCTTGTAACTAATCAGATGCAAAATGAAAACCAATCACAACCTGATCACTCGCGTTTTCCCACGCTTCAGGCACCTCACGTGTACCCATATCTTTTTTTTTGGCCGTTTTGGTAACTTAGAAGCAGTGAGGAGGATTCATTTAATGTTACATCTCAATTTGAATTTCATGCTTGTAGGCATCCAAGGCAAATGATCTCGCAAAGCTTCAGGAACTCACTCAGAAGGTAAAAAAAAATGTGAAGTACTTTTCTAGGCTTTTCTCAGTGTTAAGCACCATTTTCAAGTATCCCTAAAAAATAACCAAGAATTTCGATCACATCGTTCTATTTTGCCATTTTCTGTCCGTGTGAGGGTATTTCTGCAAAGTTCTTTTGTGGTTTCCAACGAATGACATTCAAAAACGCAATCGGAATTAATCATCAGAGTATATTGATGACTTCCGCAAAGTGTCCAACGCTTCCCCTCCCTCCCCACTCCTCCCCCTCATCCCATCTAGAGTCATATTCCAGCGGATGGTACAAACCCTCGAATAACACTTTTCTACCTGTGCTATGGGAATCAACCCTTTACCCTAACATCAGTATGTATATTCTCCTTACTGTTCTACCTTCATTTCCTATAGTACTTACAAGGATAATTTGTCTACTAATCAAAATCTTCTTGAGTTCGCGATCATCTCCTCTATGCTCATAATCTTAATATTTTATTCAGGGATGATACTGTTGGGAGAAGTTAGATGCGTATCACTCTTAAGGGTTAAAGGGTTATCTTTTATTGTGGCCCCTTTCACCCTCAAGATTTAAGTACAAATTCTCTACACTGTTAACTATACATTTATTAGCATCTAAGCTATAAGAATTTAGACTACGGAAAGTCTTTCTTTGGTGAGCGCCTCACTCACGACACTCTAAGAGCTCCCCAATTTTTTTTTTTCACTTTTTTTTTTTCGAATCGAACGACGGACTTCGCTAAAAAAGAAGGACTGCTCATAGTCTACTGAGAATTTGGTATTAAATCAAACAACATTTCTTAGTTGTTTTTTTTCTTACTTCTGAAAGGGTCAAGTCTTGAAAACGCAAAATTTTCTTTGGAAATGATCTGGAAAGGGTTTGAATGTTTTCTTACCGACTAGTTGTGGACTAACAACAAGCTAGTTCATAAAAAGTAGACTTATCCCAAACTCACCTTTTTTTCGTTTTTAACTCGGAGAATAGCTGAAAGCTATTTCAGAGTTATTGTTATGACCCAAAACTCCATCACTCCCTCCATCTATTCCTGTTAACTTTTTGGGAAATTTTCTGATTAATCCATGAGGGTTTCGCCGTTCGGTTCTTGCGTGGGACTCAGGAATCTCATAGCTGAGAATTGGTCAAAATAATAAATGGACATTATTTTTACTCACAGTATTCCGAATATGAGAAAGTTGTGATCGAAGACCGCGTGGCTAAAGAACAAGCAAGACGGCAAGCAGAGCAAGAACTGGAAGAACTCAAATCCGCCACCAAGGTCAGTAAATACAGCTGTATTTGGTATGAGACAAGTATGGACCGGTTTTAACATGCAAATGAAAGTGCCGGGCTGTAACTGAGATGAAATAAGTGCTAAAAGTGAGTTAAATTTCGGAAAAGGGGTTGGCAGTCTGTAAGGTGTTAAAACCACGCGAAGAAAATCCTTGAATTTGGGATCATGTTTATTTATGGTAGGCTTTGTCGATACACCGATCGATAGTCGGTCGAAGTGTCGGTCAGTCCTCTGTCAATATTTGACGGAAAGTCGGCAGATAGTCGGCCGATATTTCGATGAAGACATCGGCTGACCATCACCCGTCCATCGGAAAACCACTAACCGACTTTCAACCTTTTACCGACTAGTTATCGACCGAAATATCGATCGAATTTCGTCCGATGTAGACGTATACGGCTGTTCCGTGAAAGGTTTTCAGGAAAAAAATAGACAAAAGCGCACTCGACAATCGCGAGAGGTACTCTAAGCATTCAGTGATCAATGAATTTTAATCATTCAAATAAACAAAAATTACATGAAATCCATATCTCGCCCTTACAGTAACGTTTTCTCAGATTTCCTTGAAATCCTGCGGTCGAGGAACTGTGACCTGAAAACTACCCACAAAGCCTTTGTCGCGTACACTTTTTCGTTTTTTTTTTCGACAAGGTTTCTCGCAACAGCTTTATATCGACCGATATTTGGACTCATGCTAACTATTCTACATGTGATCTGATGAAATTCAGCCCGGCGCCCGAAGGCCTAAGAGCGATTAACTTTTGTTCTTGCGTCGACATGCCATTAGCCATGTAATCATGACGAAGAACTCTAACCTTGATATTGGAAAACTGACGTGGACATTTTTCGCGTACTTTTGTTGTTTGTCGTTAACGGAGTTTAATCAGTTGTTTTTTTGAGCTTTCGTTCGCGCAAATTAGTTACTCCTTTGTTTGGAATTTCAAGAGGTTTTGAAGTTTTTATTTTAACCAAGTGTTGTGATTCATTTAAGAAGTTTAATACACCTTTTCTCCATGGAGTTTAGGCTCTGGTCTCTTTTTTTCGTGAATGAATTTTTTTACATTCATCGATTTCTGAAGCACGCGGAAAGTTTAGAAAGCACAAAAGATGAGTGATAGCTACTTGAGGCATAGCTAAGCCTGCGAAGTGCAACTCAAGCTTTGTGAGCGCTCTTCACACCTCTTATTTGGTTCACAACTCAATGAATTCACAGCTGATGTTATATCAATTGCTCTTCTACATTTTAAACTTCGTTATATTTGTATATATTACGTTTAATAATATAGAGCTAAATCGTAAATTTAATTTTATTTCTTTTCATGACTTGACGATGACGCGAAGCAACGTCAACGCGTCTTCAAAATATTTTACGAACAGTTACGAGAAGTTTTTCTATGAATTTTAAACAACGTTCTGGCGTTGAACTTAGCAATTACATCAACTTTTCACGCTTCAAAGTATGGAGACACAGTCTAGCGCGTATATCACGTGGTTAATCTGAAAACTGTACGTGACAGAAGGTAGACCTGAACGAAACGAGAGAATGTGAAACAGTTGCGTCAACGTACGTTTCCTCTCTCGTTGAACGACTTTTTCTGCGTTTAACACGAAGAAAATAACGGCCTGATCAATATGAAAAAAAATGCGTCTGCCCTAATCAGCTCGCAGGGAGTGATTACAGTGAGATGCGCCCAGTCATCATAACGTGCGCATCTCCATAATCATCAGGCTCCGGTTGTTTGAAGGTTGGATAACGCTGTCCACTGAATAGAACTCTATCCGGTGGATAACGCTATATGTTTAGCTATCACTTATCTGCCGGATAGCGTTTTATCCGTTGGGTAGCGTTATCCGCCTTTTATACAACTGGGCTCAGAGCCATTATACTAATAAGAGGTGTTGTCTTTTCTACGCTTGAATGCATACACGTCGCATACACGTCATACACACGCCATAAACATGCACATGGGAATATCGACCACATTATTCCAATTTTTTTCTTCTTTCCTCGATAAAGGAGAGAAAGGAATCTTGAGACAAACTTTAGAAACGAGGTTGATGGAGAAAGGTTGACGCACGTGATGAAATGAAAATGAATTACACGTATTTACATGCTATGTCCTAAAATGAAATTACACAAACTATAAAGGGTTTTCTTAATTGTTATTATTATTTTTTCAGATACAGTCCTGGTGGAGGGGAACAATGGTACGTAAACAATTGGGACCTTACAGTAAGAAAAAGAAGAAGAAGGGAAAAAAAGGAAAGAAATCTGGGAAAAAAGGAGGAAAAAAGAAAAAGAAATAATTCTGAGTAGAACATAAAACCTTGTACAGTAGCGTCAACAACTGTTGTTGTAAATTTGAGAATAAAAAACCGATTTTAACGAAACTTTACTTCTGTTTTTGTCTTGACCGGTGTCAAAGTATGAAACAACTTTAATTTTTAATGAAAAAGCACAATGATAATATTAAGAATTTAACAAAGTAAGTTATCCTTTGACAATATGTTACTAATTAGAAAAAAATTATTCATTTTAAATTTGCGATGTGTTATTTCCCAAGTAAATTCTAAAATGCTTACTGAATACGTGCCAAGGAAGGATATGGAGTAAAATTTAACTGTGCTAGGCGCCTAGAAATTATTATTCTTATATACATCCCGCCGGGTTGAAATAGTTTTTCCTGGGGAACTGAAGTAAAACTCACATGGAACCAAGCAGCAGCAACTCGAAGAGCAAAAAGAAATGAGGACTCACCGCGGGAAACGCGAGAGACCAAAGCGCGGCGGCTGTAAGGTTTTGTATCTGATTGGTTGGGAAAGTGGCACGAGTTCTCTGGACCAATCACAGCGCAAAGCCACGTTAATGCAACCCTTTTATGTTCCTTTCGACACTCAATTGAAAATTGCTAGGTGAGAAAAGGCCATTTTAAACAATTTACACGAGGCCGACTGTCGCCTGAATTTAGGTCAAGTACGTGATTTTTGAAGGAAAAAGCGATTAAAAGCTGCTTGAGTTGAAATTCAACTTTATCGACCTAGGTTGAAGAATCCAATCAGGAAATAACTTAAACTCCGATGTTGATGTTTATACGTGCACAAAAGTTCATGATTATATGACTGATTTTAGCTACTGGCTCACTATCGTTTTTTTTAAATTTAATCATTTATCAAGGGCCTGACGAAACTCATCTGTCTCGAGGTCTTCTGTGTTGAAACTGCTGTTCAATCTCAAATTTTTTTAGAATAAATCTAAATTGGACAGAAAAGGTCAACGAACAGTCAACGCCGTGTTATTAGTGCCAAGAATATTCACTCATACAGCTCCTACAAATCGTAATGTTTGACATAGATAACATGACTTTTAATTAGTTTACACAGAGCGAGAGGTGTTTACACCCTTGCTACACAATGTCTGTTTTATTGCACGTCGAAAATCAGTCATTCTAACGGCGTAAATCCAAGGATTTATGGCTGAAGAAGAATAAGAGATTGCTGCAACCCAGAACCACGCTATGTTAATACGAAGCCTGTGACAGTGGCCTCTTAATAGTATTGCAAGAAAGTTTACCACTAGTGTTGGCAGAAATAAAGCAATAAAAAGGCTTGTTATGATTGCAAATGTTACAGCTGCTTTTCTATGTTTCAGTTCTTCGGCAGCTCGAACAGGGCGATTAAATGTGCGGTGCCTTTTCCACCAAGAATTCTGCGCCTTCGCCACGTTGTAAACGCGAAGATAGCAGAACAAAAGCACTGTTAAAGGAAGAAAGAAAGTCACAATGGATCCTATTATCCAAAGCTTTGGCAAGTCGTTGTAAGATAGATAAAAGCTTATGGTGGAGAACAAGATGGCAAAAACCCACATGCAAATTGCCGCCCACAAGATTCGCTTTTTAGTTATTGTCTCTCGGTAATGTAAAGGGTGAAGGATGGCAATGTAGCGATCAACAGCTACAAAACACAGGTTAAATGTTGAAGCTGTCGTAGTTAACAACCAAACAGCGGTTTCGGCGTTCTTGAGTTCTTGAACTTCTTGAAGAGACACAAAACCGCAAAGAGCCACGTACAGCGAGTTGGCAAACAGGCCCATAGTTAAATCGGCAAAAGCTAATGACGCGATAAGAAAGTTTGAGGTGTTCTTCTTCAAGGAAGGTGTTCTGTACAACGCCAGTAGTGTAATCGAGTTGCCAGTTACTGATAAAATACCAGAAACGGCATTTATCGCGACCAAAACCCCAGTAAAGGCAGTGGTTAGGGTTTGAGTACAGTTTTCACCCATTTTCTCCGAATACTTGCTTTTAATAATTTTTTCTCCACGATAAACGATGTCCAATGTTTCCTCAGCTGCTGAAAATTAAACACAAAATGCTGGCTTGCACCTGTTACAAACACGTCGAAACGAGAAGGTGAAGATTATGAAAAAGGAGATACAACAGTCTACAAAGAAACATTAATTTTTTTACGCGATTGATCGAGGGCAGGCCTATATTTATTGCTTATCTCATTCACGGGGTCTAAATATTTATCTCTGGAAATTATTTCAAAACTTATCATTACGTGCGAATTGTGCGACCATAAAATTGATTGTGCTGTCTGATAGATCAATTAGCGAAATATATACAGGAAAAAAAATAGTCTACGTGATCATCTCAAACAAATATATTTAAGAAGCGTGAAAAAAGCCACGAAGATATCTGATCCATGTTAATTCAAAGATTATTGCATCAGAATTAAACCAAGCTATAGATCTGGATTCGAACTTTGAAACAATTTTATTTTTGATGCAAAACTGTCTAATATTACCTCAGTTTCTTCTCTGCCATTCTTTTCTTTGACGTCTGTCAAAAAAATTATTGAACCTACAATTTCTCGTCCTGTGCATTATATCATTTTGCTAACTTAGCTAACAAAACTGCATTATCTTCGAAATGTAATTCTTCCTTTTTAACAATCTCCACAGATGTATGAATTTGCCATCACTCGGCCAAACAAACAATTAACCAATTACTTTTCAGAATACAAACGACTTGCATCACAATTAGAGAAGAAGCTTATGTTCATATATCAGGGTTTGGTTAAAATACCTTTCGAAGTCATTCAGTGTAACACACAAGTTTCGTTGTGTTGGTTGGCTTTCTGAATAAGTCATCGTACAAAAAAACACGGATGAACTCGAATAGATGAACTGCGAAATACACAAAGGCTTTTAGCAATACAAAAGAAAGCAGATGGAAACCGTAAACATTTTGTTTTTCGTCGATCGTCAAACTGGCGACGCAGCGAATATATCTGTCCCCATTAGATTGTTTGAAATGTTTCTCACGTTATAAACAACTGCGCATATTGGTTAAAGAATTGAGCTAAAACCGTTTGTTAAAGATCTCTCACCTTTAATTCGTGAGCCTCAAAATTCGAAAATTAATTCATCACTAAATTCAATTGACTTAAAGAAATTTGCGCAATTCGGTAAATCTTCGATCCAAAATTGTAATATTAATGTACGAACCTTTTTATACGAGTGTCTCCTTGATAAAAATTTCCAATTAATGCAGCTGAAAAAGGTATTTTTTAGATCAACGATGCATTGCTTTAAAAAAAAGAAACCGCTGGCTAAGTAACCAATCTCCTTGGCAAGTATTTTATGTTCTGCGGAGTTTCTAGTTTTCCCACTTCTTGTAACATAAAATAAAAGTGCTTTGGAGGCTTTTACTCGTTTCCGGGTTGTTAAGACTTCCAGAGTCACACAATTTATAGAGCCACACAAGTTATCTAACAATTGCTTTGTGCGTCAACGTGCGTGCCGGCTCGAAGTTTTGAGAGAACGAAAGATAGGTAAGAGTTTCTTGAAGAGGTGACCAAGGGTAAGTGCTTTCCAAAGTGCTTTATATCTCGATGGACGGAACGCCGACATATCAACCCATCAGAGCGGTGATAAAGGGTTAATTTCTAAAGAAACTATGGTACTGCGTCGGTGGGAGAGTATAACAGGGTAATTTAGTATTACCAACTTAGTTGATAACGAAAATTGGCGAATCCTTTGCGGTAGCGGTTGTTTAAATGTTGTTATCATTGATTTCTCTCGGCCAAACTTAAACGCACGCACACGTGTCATCAGCGTGCAATACAGGAATAAGAAGCACGTTCGCGCAATTGAATTTAATTAAGAAATTTGCTAACAACGTCATAAACGAAGAATTCAGGCTCTTTTTAAGATGGCGGAGTTAATCTGATTTTCCATAACAACTACAGCTCATCCCTTACCTTTCAACGCCAAGATCTCATTAGTAATTCTCCTTACTGTCTGCCATACAATTATTGTGACGTTAGTTGAGAAAATTTGATATTGGATCAACTAATAATCCCCTAATTGATACTGTTTTTATTCTCATCACTTTCCTGCTCGATATAACATTAATATTGTAAGGAGAAATTCTGTCTTGGTCACTCATGGGAGTTTAACGGTTAATGAGCTCAGAGACAACTCTAAGAGGCGAACCTGCAAAGAGGCCAAGAATTCCAACAAACGAAACACAGCATTCAAACGTCTACGCAAATTAAACACAACACTCAAACGTCTGTGCCAATTAAACACAGCGCTCAAACGTCTACGCAAATTAAGCACAGTCCTCAAACGTCTGCGCATTCGTCAAAGCTGAAACGTTAAAGATACGGCGTAAAAGAGTGCTTTCATATTGTCAAAATCAATCTCCCCGCCGGAGCTATGAACAACCACAAAAAGCCGTGGGAATACCTTTAGATTTTCGATAAATAGACTTTGTGTTGGAAAAGTCTCAAGATTTCCATTCCCTTCTCTATCTCCTTTCACAGATTTCTGTGAACGTTTCAATTTTTTTTTCGTAATTTTTGCGTAACAGCGGGTTTTTTCTTAAACCTTCCCTTACTTTGCACGGAAAATTCGAGCGCAACTAGCAAAAATGGAGTCATTTGCGTAAGCCTCAGTGCGTTTGACCGCCGGGTTACTGAGAGAAGATGGGGAAAAGTGTGATAATAAAGGCTTTCATTGATATACGCCAACTTCACTGAATCTATTTTTAGAAGTCATTTTATTGACAGCTTGAACTAATCTTCTGCACTTTCATCGTTATATTAGTTTGACTCCGAATATCAGGTCGAGGTTACCCTTCATGAGAACGTCTCCGAAAAGGTTACGTTTTTGAGAGAAAAATCTCAGGGTTTTACCCATGAGCCTCTCCTCTCTTTCACTATGTCTTCTTGTGATTTTGCTATTTTGTTATTCAAAGGTTACACGTCCCTCGACAGTTATTTTAGATCTAAGGCAGAACCTGTTCTCCCAGAAATTATGTTTCAGATACCTCGCGAGTTGCCTCATTGTTATTGGTGGAAAGCGAATAAAACTCCGCATATGATGGCTACTGGGGGAGAATGCGCAAAAGAGGATTTATTATTAGATAGATAGATAGATAGATAGATAGATAGATAGATAATCTTTATTTAACCACGGAAAATTCATAAGCCATAAAAACACTCAAATATATAAACATGCATTCAATGGATAAGATACTATAAAAACTATACTAAAGCACAAACCTAACTAAAGCTGCTTTCCACGAATGCCGTGCCTGAACGTACTTCTTTAATCAAACGCTTATTTCTTGTCTCATGGCGGAGAAATAAGTCCTTGATTGTACTTATACAGCCCATTATAGGAGGAGGGGTAGGGGGCACCTCCTGTCTGTTGTACCCCTCCCCCCACATATTCTTCTGCGCTCTTTCCCCCTCCCCCCCCCTTCACATAATATAGTCGTCGTCGTTGCTTATATCTTAAAACGGTGGCGGTATCTAACTGATAACTCAAGAGTGATTGCCTTACTAATCTAAAACCATGATAAACCTTTCCAAAATGAGTGGTCATCAGTTGCCCGATTGGAACACAAGAGTAATTTTTTATAGGTTGAGTTTCGAGAGTAATACGAGATTTCTGTGGTGTTGGTTCACTATGCTGTGTGATTGGTTCAGAAAACTCGCGTCACTTTCTCGACCAATCACATTCAAAGCTAATAAAAAACACGATTTGGTGACTCGCGTTTTCCCGCGCTTTGGGAAGTTTACTTGTTTTTACTTTAAGTTGTAAAAGGCTTCTTGTGATATTTTCCTTTCTCTTGATTGGCTGTTCTAATCACTTTGTGTGACACTCAATCGAAATGCACTCTAATGGGACAATTGATTTGTTATACGTATGTAACTGGACAGTAAGTGTCATTTGTGCGCGCTGCTTCATAAATTATTGGGTCCCTTTTCTGGTGGGAGAAAGTTAACAGTTATGTTATATTTTTTCGTCTTGCCACGAACGTGGCATGCAGAAAAAGACTTCTAAGTTCCTATGATGAATCGAGTTTCAGACCTACGGATTATATCAATGAGCTATGAACATTACAAGGGCTTTCATACGAGATACGCGTCTTGTATACTGCTAATACAGAAATGTCGAATGCATCGCGTGAGAAAATAGTCCTGTAAACTGCTAATACAAAAATTTCAAGAGCACCGTGCGAGAAAATAGAAGAAAAAGAGTTGTTAAATTTTGAGCTAGTTATAGTATATAATTTAAGATGTTTTTTTTTTCAAAAGGAATTTGTCTTTAAAATTTTATCAAAGCGATGATTAATTAATAACAGGCTTTTGTGATGTCCAATTACGTCACTTATTACATCCATTTTGAAACCACTGGTGGTCCCTGTAATCTGATTGGCTCTAATTGGTGTGATTTATTCACGAATCGCACCATTATTGCTTTAAATCGCATCTTTCTTCTCAGCCAATGAGGAGGCTACACTAAAAACAAAACAACTAATCAGATTTCAAGGCTTGTTTAAAGTAAAAAATCAAATTGCAGGAAAATGAAAAACAAAGAGAATCATGTGGTAAATTTTGCAACTTTTGTTTTCAAAACTCTTATTTTTCCCCACAAAAAATGAGTGAATTTAATTTCAATAATTTCAGTACTGCATCAATGAAATATTTGAACTGACCAAGTCCTGTATTTGGGCGATTTAAAAATGAATGTAATAAAGTGGTAATTGAACCTCATGTTGTGCAATTTTGGGCTGAAATAATACTTGTGATTTCAAATCGAACGAGCGCGCAAATCACTTGTATGATTTCAGCCCAAATTGCACTCCATTTAGTTCAATTACCATTATTAATCGCTCTCTTTATTAACAAATCAGACTCCCGCTTCGCGGTCGTCCGATTTTGATAATCGACCATTATTATCAATATACGCGGCCAAATAGAAAATCGACCTCTTCAAAACACACGCTCAGCGGGCCGCAAAAGACTGACAGCGGGCTGCTAATGCATTATCAGCCCTACAGCTGATCGGTTCTTGCTTCATCATCCGATGGATTTTAACCAATTAGAGTAAGCCTAGTGTTGACGCGGGAAAACCATTCATTTGCGAAACTCCGGTTTTGAACGGTAATTTTCAATAAGTTCACTGGACTGAGTTGATTCTTTAATAGCTTGTTCAATCAACACTTACATGATGATTTGAAGTGACTTTGAATTCGTCATTCACTTAGCTTTTATTATTAAAACTCGCATTCTTGATATCATTTGGCCTTGTTTATTGATAATAATGATAATGACATGACTTTTTGAGGGAATATTGTTTATTTGCGCCCGCGTAGTGTCAAATGACACTAAGCGGGCGCAAATAAACAATATTCCCTCAAAAAGTCATATTCCCCTATTGGTATGATCAGAGACCTAACTGAGCTTCACTTGGCCCGCTTGACTTCACTTGAATCCCTGTCGTCCAGGCTCCAGTTGTTCAGGTTGGAAGACGCTATCCACTGTATCTAGTGGATGGCGTAGTATTTGTTGGTATTACTTATCCACTGGACAACGATTTATCCGTTAGATAGCGTTGACCGCCCTTAGCCTACGTTTAGCCTTTGGGGGGAAGGGCGCGACCATAGTAGGCTAATCCACCCTCGTACAACTGGGCTCAGGTCTATTTAGACAATCGTTCCTT